CACTGGGTTTAGCAGTCGATTCTGTTCCCTGCCGGAATTCCTGTTCCCTTTACGCAATCATACTACAAATCATGCGTAGTTGCCCGTAGCTCCCTCTGGGAGTATAACGTTGCCCGAGCCAGATCCAGAAATGTCAGCTATGCTGAAACGGGCCGCCAAGGCTGCCGGGTTTGAGTGGAATCCTCCACCGTGTCCCTCTCAGTCTCGGTTGGAGGATTGGTATCTCGGGGCGGGCCGCGCTCGTTCTCAGCTCGCCGCCCCAGTGCCTTTCTTACCAGGTTGTGGACGGCACGTTTTCTCATCCAGAAACTGCCTGAATGGCTTTTCTCCCCTCACTACTCTTGATGGAGGAGCGGTGAAGGGTTGTGAGGCTATCCCTTCTGCGGAGCGGTCTGTCGCGGGCGGCCGCTGCCTTTTGGGGGGATCCTCGTCTCCCCCTAAGGCCTGTGAGTTCTCGTCCGTTTTGACGGGCAGAGCTTGCAAAGCCTGTGGGCAAGCCGCCGCAACTTTGCGTGCCATGGTGCTGCTACCAGTCTATCAGGTCAGGCAACTCATGGACATGCACGAGGGTAGCCCAGACCGTGCGCTCATAGGTAAGCACCGCACTGCATCTGACCTCGCCCTCCGGGGCACAAGTGTCGTGGCGTGTGTGATCGGTCTGGCGATGTCCACCTTAGTGGTTCAGGAGCGCCATCGTTGGCTCAGCCTGGTTGATATGGTGGATGCGGACAAGGTTCGGTTCCTGGTCTCCCCAATTTCCCAGGTTGGGCTGGTTGACGACGCGGCGGAGAACTGCGCCCAACAGTTCTCTGCCACCCAAGCGCAGACGGAGGCCATCCGGCACATCCTGCCCTCCACCCCGCCACTGGTGGCAGTTCATCCGCCTGCTCATCGCCGAGGGCGTTCCCCTGCCAATCGCCGAGGGCATTCCCCTTGCCGCCGCTCCCACTGGGCCTCCGCAGCAGCCTCCAGCCAGGCCTCAGCATGGAGCCAGGCGCAGTAAGGATGCCAAGCCCGCTCCAGGCGCTGCCAAGCCAGATGGCAAGCGACAGCAAAAGCATTCCCCGGAGGAGGCAGAGCCAGCCGTGGCTTTTCTCTGTCCGTCCACTCCATTGCGGTTTTACGTGCTCAGAATGCAAAACCTGGACCTCAGACAGCTCTTGTCTGTTACGGAGACCAGCAGAAGGGAAGGCTGTTTCCAAGCAGAGGTTGGCCCACTACATGTGTTTGCCTTCATCTTGGTGAGAAAGTTTCCCAAGATGCACGTGCCCACCTGGGTGGTGAGCTCCTCCTAAGTGAGAGTATTGATCCCTCCTAGGCATTGACACAGAGTGCCTTGTGGAACAGATGTTAATATAGTTGGGGGCTGGGCGACACCTATCACGTTCGCTAGAGAACTAGCATATGTATCGAACCGCTGCTTCCCGTGGGCTCCGTTCACATTAAGCCAGTTTCACTGTAAGCCCGGTTCGAAGTGTCGGCTTGCTGCACCATTCTTGCTTCAGTAGAGTTCCCATCATTAGCCGAACCCTGTCGAGTTCCTCCATACCCTTCGGCAACGGACGTGCTGTTGAACGAAGCCAGGCCTATCACTTGTATGCACTGGTGGAACTTGTGTTAGGCTGGGTCCATATGTTGTGATCCCTACGGCGATCCCATGTGTGTATTCTTCCACAGTACGGCTCCCTCCGGCGAGCCCGTGTCTTCCCTCGGCAGAGCCTGCTCTGCAGTCACTGTTCAGTTGATCCTCCCCCCTGTTATAGGCTGGAGTCATCCCAGTGACATTCGATATGTTGTACTGCCCAGTCATCCGCCCAGTCCATATGTGTATTCTCCACGCTACCTCCTTTCGGGCAGGATGTGCTTTCCGTAGCATCCCTTCCTTCCATTGATAGGGTACGCTTTCCCAGTGGTCCTGTGGAACAGCAGTGACTTCCTTGGCCTAAGCTCTTCCATCTCCACCTCAAGTTGCGGAAGGATCACAAGGCTTTTGTCCAGGCACAGGAAGGTGGCAGCACTAGTGGCGTTTTCAATGGTGATACCATTCAGTCGACTTCAACTACGTCTGACGTTCTCCACTGAAAGGGATCGTCCTGGATGCGCATGCAACCCACCGTCCCCTGAGTGAATGGAGGACGTAGTCCCCTTGCCACTACTGCTGTTCACCGCTGACTGCGAGTTACACTCGGCTCCACAGCGAAAAAGCAACTAGTGTGTGGATCCACTTCCGTATTTATCCCCACGCCGCGGGGACGGAGTGGGTGATGCAAGTCATGCACGCCAAATTCCATTGGCTCGTTCAATAGTACTCGAAGATGACTGGCTTCCTGGCGTGATCCCATTCAGTCGACGTCGACTACGTCCCCCGTTCCCTCCTTCAGGGAACGGTGGGTTGCATACGCAACCAGGACGTTCCTGTATGCATTAGGCAAGCAGGTAAAGCTATCGGACCCACTTTATATTAGGTGTCTGTAATTAGTATGTACTTACATAAAAAAACGTACATGTACTGTTGTTGAGGTGTGATACGGGTAAGGTTATGGACAGGTTTAGGGGTATGGGTCGGGTTTTTTTGTGTGTAAGTGACATTGTAAAGCATTGTGCTATATAAAGTTGCTATTGCTATAAGGGTGGGTTAAGGTGTAATGGAAGGGTCAACTTCTGATGCAATTAAATTAAAATGTAAGTACAACGTAAAAACCTGCATCTACACTGTAAAAACAAATATATTTTTCAAAGAATACTATTTTGGTCTTTCTACTTCAAGTTAAATTAAATGTGTCACTTACAGTTTCTTTTTAATTATTTGTAAAAAATGTACTAGCAATTTATGAGTAGTGTACCCAGTGTACACAATAAGTGCATTGCATTAAATTATTAATTTAAATGCTAGTACATAGGTAGCTCTTTTCCCCGCCATTAGTGCACATTTCCGGCACTCCATGTTTTCACCTGTTATACAGTAGGGGGAAGTATTACGCACTTTCTGAAAGAGTACATAATCTTATGATCAAAATACAGACGAAAAAGCAGCAGAAGCATGCAATAAAAGTGTTGCTTATGCACATGTAAGCTAACGTGATTATCAAACATTCAACAGGATATAAATCAAAACTGCCTAAAGTTAATGAAAAGTCAACCCAGGACGAGGTACATGACTGTGAAGTTTTGGGGGTGTTGTGGAAGCAATCTACTCCAGCTTTGTTTTGATCATCATACTGAATCCGATCAGGACGTAGTCTTTAATATTAAACAATTTTCTCAGCATTTTGTTCAAAACCAATTTTTTTTTTGTATAAAATACCCACATTAAAGTGTTGATAAAAATTGAATGCATGAAGATATAATTGTTTTATTTTTATATATTGCATGTTCAGATATTAATTCAATAAAATATTCTGGGGCCACGACATTTTTGTGAAAATGATCAAAAATGCTGGCGGTGGCATGCAATTATTTTTTTTTTAAATGCTGCAGGCGAACGAGTTAAAAACACTTAAATGCGCAGTATGTAATATTGACAGCAAGCAATTGAAATGGGTAATGCAGTTCAAATAAAAAATATTGAAGAGTGCGGACACTCAACTGAGATTGCCCTGCTCTCGGTAATTGAAGCTCTAAGACTCTCTGAGCTTCCAAATCCTCAGTTCTCATCCTGCTGGATCGGTCTGCTGCCTTTGTTGCAGTTAACCACCAAATCCTCCTGTCAATCCTGAAAACAAAGGGGATCTCTGGAGCCGCACTACAGTAGTTTAAGTGGTTCTTACCTCTGTCTAAGACCCAACATCTAGCTACTGGGGTGCCTCAGGGCTCAGTGCTTGGACCACTTCTCTTCTCCATCTACATGACATCACTTAGATCTGTGATTCAGAAACATGGCTTTTCCTATCTCTGATACGCTGATGACACACAACTCTACCTCTCATTCCAGCCAGACGATCCGACGGTTGCTGCTCGCATCTCAGCCTGCCTGACAGACATTTCTGGCTGGATGAAGGACCACCACCTTCAACTAAACCTTGCGAAGACAGAGTTGCTTGTGGTCCCGGCCAAACCTACACTACACCACAACTTCTCCATTCAGCTATGTTCGTCATCCATAACTCCATCAATGTCAGCCAGGAACCTTGGAGTTGTGATTGATGATGAATTGAACGGCAACATTTGATCTATTAATACTAACACTTTATCTTCTATTCTATATCTATTATCTTTAAAAAAGAATAAAATAAAAAAATAAAAAAAGTACACATAATGCGTTAGATTAAACTGGGAAAGGTTTAATCTAACAAATATGCACTTGCATATTGTTGTCCTATTGTTAGTTTAACTGCTTCTATTGTTCTCCTTTGTAAGTCACTTTGGGTAAAAGCGTCTGCTAAATGAATAAATGTCAATTATAATATCCACGCCCTGATGGGATTCCATTTTGATGGCACGGAAAAAGAGCGAGCACAATAGACAATGGAAGGAAAGGAGAATTACACACTGTAAATTGATTTAAGCTCATTTTAATATGCCCCCTTTCATTGAGATTTTTAGATGGATGCCTAGGCTTTTTAGTTCGGGTGGAATATGCGACCTCTGACCCAGTTTGTGTGGTGGCTTCAATGGCTGCAAAATGCTGTGTTTTCTGCCAACTGGTAACTTGGGGTGTCAAAATACTTTTGGGTATTTGGCAGTGGGCGAGATTACACAGACCAAAACAAAAACAGATATTCCGACACGGAACAGACATTTCAAAGTATAATAACTGGCTGTAACATTGCTTTTCAGAGGAAAAAAATAATAATGTTGACTTAGCCTGTTTCCTAAATATCTGCAAACATATTATGGTACATGTATGCTTTACTACAAACAAAATAATAAATCCAGCACCTTTAAAATAAAATGGGACAAAAATAACAGATCTCAAGTGGTGTAGTCAGGGCAAATGGAGGGAGCAACATCAGGTAAACCAAGAACTGAATAATATGTGAACTAGTTCAAGAGTTGCTTACCTCCCTAAAAAGAAAGCTATGTAGAAGGTAGAGCTGTTGAGATTGACAAACTGGAAGAGGAACATCTTGAGGGCAAAGCTGTTTTCCCATTCCGACTCTGTCCGTGGGTGTTCTATATCACAAGTGAAAGCCATGCAAGAATCATTCGGGAAGTTCTGCACTGCATGTTATAGCTATGAGGAAAGTTTCTCACATGCAGTGTGACGACTGCACAAATTTCACCCTCAATCAATAGTAACCTTGACTGAATCAACACTTACCCAGGTTTGTAAGTAGGTAGGCCACTTTCTCATAGACCTGTTGGGTGAAAGAAAATGGAAATAGAACCATTGGAGACACAGCTGCAAATATGAACTGAAAAAAGTAGCATTTTCATTCCATGTGTTCAGGAGAATAAAATTGTCACATTCAAACGGAAAATAAGTTGTATCCACTCTAACAGACATTCTACTAACTATCAGTAACTTTGCAACTTATTCTAACCCTAACCCTACCAGCCCTACCAGTATACTAATACTGGTAACACTTTATTTTGATGGTCCCTTTTGAAAAATCATTTAGCTGACGCTTTTATCCAAAGCGACTTACAATTGCTATATATGTCAGAGCAACTAGGGGTTGCTCAGAGACACATTGGTGTCTCACAGTGGATTCGAACCCGGGTCTCTCACACCAAAGGCATGTGTCTTATCCACTGCGCCATCACCACCCCTTATAGTTAACTATAAGTAACTTTGCAACTACATGTCAACTAACTCTCATTAGAGTATCGGTGTAATGTCTGCTTAATCTCTGCTAACTCTTTATTGTGATGGTCCTCCAACAGACAATCTACTGACTATAAGGCCTCGTTTACACTGCAGGTCTTGATGCCCAATTCTGATTTGTTGCCTATATCCGATTTTTTTTACCGTCCGTTTACACGTTCTTTAAATTGTGACCCATATCCGAGTCATGTGTTTACACTTAACTGAAACATCGCGCATGTTTAAAGGGGTCGTCTTGCTCAGATGGACGAAGCGCAGCGAGATCTCTGGACAGGTGGGAACATACAACATGATCTCATAAAAGTGAGTAGCCTATCTATAGCACAAATTTTATTTCTCATGCCATTTATAGCCTACGCCAAAAATAGTTTTTGCTTGCATATGATACGCACTGTAAACGTGCGTATTAAACGCCATAAAGCTATATTTTTGGCGTAAATGCCACGTGAAAAAATCGTGGCGGGCTTTAACGAGGAGCAGTGGGTCCGAAATTTTAGGATGAGCAAGCCAACGTTTGATATGTTGTGTCAACGTGTGTCCACATTCCTCTCCTACGACGACACAATGTTTCATCGGGCCATCCGTCCATCCGCAGATGCGCGTCTGGGTTTCTCTCGTCATTAAACCGCGGAGACGCAGCCTAATGCCTCGGAAAATCCGATCTGCCTGTTTACATGACAGTCGCATTGGCACATATCCGATTTACATCTGATTTATTTCCACATATGAACGAGGCTTGAAACCGATCTCGAAATATCCGAATGCATGCGTTTTTTTCCTGTTTACACTGTCATAGAACACATCCGATCTGTGTCGCATACGAGTAAAAAATCGGAATTGGGTCACATTTCACTGACAGTGTAAACGAGGCCTAAGTAACTTTGCAACTACATGTCAACTTATTCTAACCCTAACAGTCTGCCAATACTCTACTAATACTCTAATGAGAGTTAGTAGATATGTAGGTGCAGTGTTATATGTTATAGTAGACATGTAGATGCAACAATACTTAATAGTCAACAGAATGTGTTAAAGTGACCGTCAAAATAAAGTGAAACCAAATTTTGTTTCCTCATTTTGTGTGGAGCTTTTGCATAAACTGTTAGACAATTTTAGTTTAGGGGGACTTTATTGTTTCTCTCTTGGTGGGAAGAGGCCTTCGGGACAAGATAAAAAAAACACTAACCACATTCAGAGACATTATGATCATAAAGTTGATGCAGACTCCAGTGCCTGAGGTGGCGAATTGCCAGTTCTTCTTCACAAACTCCCACTGGAAAGAAGCAAACTTCTCCATGGCAATGAGCCGGAACACCACCACGGCAAACACGGCTGTCAGAACCAGAGAGATCTGGAAGAAAAATGATGAGAGGTGAACAAGGTGTCAAACTGAAATATTATAAATAGATGGAAATATATTTGGATAAGTCTCAGAATTTTCCTTTATAAACTTAGGCATGGTTTTGATATGCATTGTCTTTTAATTGAAGACCACAAGAGGGAGACAGTTATTTATGTGAGATAACTTTAGCTAAATTATTTGTTTTAATTTGAAATATTCTTTAGGGCTACAAATAGGGTTGGGAACTGAAAATACTGGAATCAAAATGTTCATGACATTCTGTAATATCTGCATTAATTTGCCTGTATAGATGGAGCATCAGCATAAAATATGTAACATGTTCATCAGACTACATACAACAGGCTCCTATAAGAGTCTTTAATCTACAATTACCTTTTAAGTGTAATTATTTTCCCATGATTCCCACTGATGTGGTGGACATTACTTGGCTTTTATGTAATTACAGTGTAACAACAGTTACAGTGTTACAAGTACTAAATAATATAAATTACATTTACTTAAGTTAAGTTATATAATATATAACTAAGGTGTTATAATTAAGTTATAATATAATTAAGTTAATAGTTAAGGTTAGGGTTCGGTTTAGGGTAAGTTGCTTGTAATAATGCATAAATTGCATACATTTTATTACTATAGTAAGTACATGTAACGTGTATGTTACGAACTGCTCCGAGTCATGAAAATGAAGATCCAAATGCAGCTTTATTCAAGAATAGTCGTATAGGCAGGGTCAAGAATCAGCAGACAGGACAATGGAGAATACACAGAGGGAATCCAAGGAACAGGCAGAGGTCAGTGCAGGCAGCAATAATCAGAGTCCAAGAACAATCCAAAGTCGAAAACAGAAACCAAACACGGGGAAACGCTCAGAAATGCAGACACATAGTACAACAAGACTTCGCAATAAGTGAATGTGAACACCAAGTATTTATGGTGTGAGGTAAACAAGATAATGAGAAACAGGTGAATGAGATGAGTGCTGATGAGTCCGGGCAGTGAGTTATGGGAAATGTAGTTTGTGAGTGAAACATGAGACACCAGAGGGCACTCCACACCAGACGATCAAGGGCACTCCAGCTGGTGACCGTTACATAGCCCCGCCCCCAAAAGAGTGGCTTCCAGACGCTCAAAAAAAAAAAAAAAACCTGTCCAGGTGGGAGGTGTAGCAGAGGCGGATCTGGGGGCGGGATGGAGGGCAAGGTCCGTGGAGCAGAAGAGGAACAGAAGACCAGGGTGGAGCAGGCGACCAGGGCGGATCAGGCTGTGCAGGTGACCAGAGCTGAGCAGGCAGTACAGGGGGCCAGGGAGGAGACGACCCTTCAGGCGATTACGGCCGTGAAGAACCCTCGGGCGACCACGGCGGTGAAGAACCCTCGGGCGGCCACGGCGGTGAAGACCCCTCGGGTGGCCACGGCGGTGAAGACCCCTCGGGCGGCCACGGCGGTGAAGAACCCTCGGGCGACCACGGCGGTGAAGAACCCTCGGGCGGCCACGGCGGTGAAGACCCTCCGGGCGGCCACGGCGGTGAAGACCCATCGGGCGGCCACGGCGGAGACAATCCTTCAGGTGGCCAGGGCGGAAACGTCCCTTCGGGTGACCATGGCGGAGACCTCCCCTCGGGCAGCCATAGCGGAGACCTCCCTTCGGGCGGCCACGGAACAGGAGCAGGCATCCACCCAGGAACAGTCATCAGTTGCTCTGGAACAGACCCTGGCTCAGGACTAGGAACTGATACCTGCTCAGAAACAGAAACAGACACAGACACAGGACCAGACACTGGCTCCGGCACAGGAACAGACACCGGCTCAGGAACAGACACCGGCTCAGGAACAGGAACAGACTCAGGCTCAGGAACAGGAACAGACTTTGTGACGACGGCCATCTTGTCCGTAGACACTGGCTCGGAGGCGCCATCTTGTCCGTAGACACTGGCTCGGAGGCGGCCATCTTGTCCGTAGACACTGGCTCGGTAGAAGTGACGTGAAGCGTCTCTGGCTCGGGAGAAGTGACGTGAAGCGTCTCTGGCTCGGCAGAAGTGACGTGAAGCGTCTCTGGCTCGGCAGAGGTGACGTGAAGCGTCTCTGGGTCGGCAGAGGTGACGTGAACAGTCTCTGGGTCGGCAGGCACGACGTGGACAGTCTCTGGGTGTGCAGACGTGACGTGGAGAGTCTCTGGCTGTGCAGACGTGACGTGGACAGTCTCAGGCTCGGCGTGGCTGATGTGATGAGGCTCCACTGAGACTTGACGAGGACCTGGAAGCTCTGCTGAGACGTGACGAGGCTCTGGAAGCTCTGCTGAGACGTGACGAGGCTCTGGAAGCTCTGCTGAGACGTGACGAGGCTCTGGAAGCTCTGCTGAAATGTGACGAGGCTCTGGAAGCTCTGCTGAGACGTGACAAGGCTGAACAGGCTCTCGCTGCCGGGGCCCTGGAACGACGGTCCTCTTGACCCTCCCCACTGACATCAGCGGGGAATCTGCCACACTGGCAACCAGTCCTGGACGGCCATAGACCGATCCGGTGGCAGGCTTAATGGTTTACGTGGCGTGAAGATTCTCAGGCTGGGCGGGCGAGGCGTTAAGAGACTCAGAATCGGCAGACGCCAAACTCACAGAAAAAGTTGAGCCACTCAGTTGAAGGGCCAAGTCAATATACTGTTTTAGAGTCCAGCTGGGGTCATGCAATGGCATAAGGAAGCTTAGCGGCTCAGATAATCCTCCACGAAAAAATATCATTAAACATACCTCGTCCATGCAAGTCAGATGAGCAAGCTCCAAAAAGTCCATCACATAATGCTCAATCAGTCGATCTCCTTGACGGAGACGCATAATTTGGGCTGCTGGGTTCATTTTGGTATCACTGCTGGATCTTGGTAAGGCGAAGCCTTCTGTTACGAACTGCTCCGAGACATGAAGATGAAGATCCAAATGCAGCTTTATTCAAGAATTTAGGCAGGGTCAAGAATCAGCAGACAGGACAATGGAGAATACACAGAGGGAATGCAAGGAACAGGCAGAGGTCAGGGCAGGCAGCAATAATCAGAGTCCAAGAACAATCCAAAGTCGAAAACAGAAACCAAACACGGGGAAACTCTCAGAAATGCAGACACACAGTACAACAAGACTTCGCAATAAGTGAATGTGAACACCAGGTATTTATGGTGTGAACTAAACAAGATAATGAGAAACAGGTGAATGAGATGAGTGCTGATGAGTCCAGGCAATGAGTTATGGGAAATGTAGTTTGTGAGTGAAACATGATCGTCTGGTGTGGAGTGCCCTCTGGTGTCTCTCAAGGGCACTCCAGCTGGTGACCGTTACAGTGTAATTATGTCTTGTTAAAGTGTTATTTTAATAATTTGATATACCTATTTTTCTACAATTATATAATTTAATTTATTATTAATTAAATTATCTTATTGCATAAGAGGCTGCTGGAAGCATTACATTTAATAAGAACTGTTTTCTAAATGTTGTCCATTCCTTCTTCCTCAAAATTGCTAAAAAGATTGGTTACCTTTTTTAGTGCCTACATGTTACATGTATTTACTATAGAAATAACAGAAAATTATGCATAATTACAAGCACCTTGCCACTAAACAAACCACAGCTTACCCTAGTAAATATTGTTAATTGATATTACTCAGTACTTACAGTATGTGTAATTACACAATAACAAGGACATAAAAAAAGTGAAAACAATATTTTTTTTATGGAATTGTTAAAAATCTGAATACCAGAATGGTTACATTCCCCACCATTCCCATCCCAATTTTCATGACGGGTGACAATAATTCTGTTCTGACTGTGGTAGCTCTAGGGATATTTTGAACACAGAATCTTACCATGAAGAAGATTCCCGAAACAGACACCATGAGTCGGCTGAGTTTGTCTGTGAAGGGCTGGAAGGGCTCTGGTTTCCCTGAGATAGGGTTTACCCTCTCCTTCCGGGAGTATTTGGCTTCAAACTGGGGCCGTAGTTCCTCCTTTTTAACAAACACATCATATTACTAATAAAACATTTGTTTGAAGATCTTTGTACAGCTTTCATGAATGAATCTCATCACACACAGATGTTCAGCATCATCATCTGCTTTGGCTGGGCATGATGGCCATTGATGATGTCATCCAGAAGTTGTTCACATGAGCTGAATGAGTTAACATGAGTCACTTCAGTGCCTGAACATGATATACATTTATTAGTACATTCTGAAAAATGGCAGTTAAATATATAAGGGACTGTATAAAGCAGCAGTTCTCAAACTTTTCAAGCCAATTATGCCGTCTGATCGAATCACACCATCCAAGTATCACCTAGACACCCCCTTACTTTTCAGGGTAATAATGTCGATGTAAGAACATAGGATACATATTAAAAACAAAGATAATAGGATTAGTTCACTCAATGAAATGAAAATTCTGTCATTATTCACTCTGCCTCGTGTCTTTCCGAACCCATATTGCTTTCTTTCTTACTTGAAACACAAAATATGATGTTTTGAAGACTGTTCATGTTGCTCTTAAAAAAATGAAAGTAAAGCTCCAAAATAGACAAAAAGCACTATAAAAGTATTACAAAAGTAGTCAATGCAAATAGTGTGCTACATTTAAGTCAAGCCTTCTGAAGTCATTCGATAACTTTATGTGAAGATCAGACCAAAATGTCATTACGCACGAGAATAAAAATGCCTTTCAGTTGTAGCTCTTAAATTTTAAGTTCCGTGGAAGAATAAAAGTCATACGATTTAGAATGACATGAGAGTGAGAAGGTAAATGAAGGCAGAACCTTCATTTTTGGGTGATATATATATATATATATATATATATCATTTTTTAATTATTACAAATTCGAAATAAAACGTGGGAAATAAATGTAAAATGTATTTAAATAATTTTAAGTTGTGTGGCTGCCCCTTTTCCACCAGCATTAGTTCTGGTGCTAGTTCCCATTCCATTTCCGGACCGGGAAAGCTGGTTCCACACCAGCCCTAAAATCTAAATCTGGTGTGGAACCAGGAACCAATTATCAATTAAAACTAAGATTAAATTTTTCAAACAACAACAGTTTGGCTAACTAGCTGCTGTGCTAACGTCTGCAGTAAAAAGTAGTTATTAAAAGCACAAACAACAACATAAAATTGAAAACAGAAAGCTCACAAAAGAAATAAGACTGAGGAGAAGAAAAAAAAGCTACCACAGCTTCATTACCGGTATCACTGCGGTTCTTAAAATTGCAAGGCTTAGCACCAGCTCTGGCACAAGAATCAGCACCATCTTGGTGGAAAAGAGGTTTTGTAAAATGCTTCAGGTGCATGAACCAGTTTGAGAACCACCATTATACAGAAACTAGCAACAACAGAATTCTACAGGGCAACGAATGCAAACACCACAGCAATAATCAAACCACATCTGCTCACTTTGATCTCTGGATTATTTTGAGGTGTTCCCTCAAACGCATTAAACGTTCACGCATCACACAAATTAAAAAACAAAAAAAGAATGCGCAATAAATGAATTCACTGTCACTCTGCACATGCTGATGTGTGATATGTGATTCAAGAAGGGCTGTTCACACTGAGATTTTATCACGGAAAGTGAATATACTTTAACTGTACAATTGTATAGTGGGTTTTTGCTGACAGTATAGGCTCATTGGAAAAACGTACCTTTACCTACATTTAAGCTAAACTCCAAAAACTTAACTATACATGTATCATTTCAGATGAAAACTGCACTGAATTATGAGTAGCATCAACAACATTTATTCCTTTTCACACAAATTATGATTTTGGGGCAGATTATTGATCTGTTGATTTTGACGTGGTTCCTAGCGCAAGACTATTGAATGACCTCAAAACATTTTTACCATACTGGATGATTTCTAAACTAATACTTCACGAGTTCACACTTACAAATAAATGTATTTGGCGTGCTGTCTGAGGGGAGGCTCCGAGCTTGGAATTTGGGCCAAACCCAGAATACTCCCCCCGTATCCTTGGCTGGGATAGAAACTAGGCGAGAGTGAGGAGACAGAGTGGTGCAGGGATGCAGAAAACTTTCGAGGAACATGGGTGAGTTGACTATGTATGTATATACTATACATTATATTTGCCTCCTCTCGAGTTGATTGGATAGGCAATTTGTTCCTCCCGAACTTTGTTAATAAAACATCATATTTTACATTTACATTATAACCACCTCATAGTAAGGCCACCTGGAGCACTACGAATCCCATGAAACGCTAGTCACAACACTGAATAAAAGAGCTCGAACACTAAAGAAGCAAGATACAATTGCATAGTTGTTTCAGCAAATGTGTTTTCTCATGTTTCTTGTTAACACTATCAGTTTGGTCATAAGGGTAAGCTGAAGTGTAGAGTTTAGTGTAGGTGCTACATTATTATCAAATGCGATAGAGTATTTACCTTTTAGAGCCACTCACCAGACATTTCATTTCCAAACTTCTGTGATATGTATAACAACCAGTGTAATGAAACATTCCCAGATTGACATTTATCTGTTTCAGATGAAACTGAACACACTTTTAGCGTCCCTCACTGGACATTTCACTTTGACACTTTTGCACAATGTGCAAGATGCAACCAACGTAATATGATTTTGAAGAAATGTCGCTACAGGCACATTTTTCCAAATAGCCTGGGTTGCAGCCAAAATGACTTCCCTGTTCCCTTCCATCTTGCTGACACTTGACTACAGTATCCAACAGAAGACGTATACTCCCGTCGGTAGACGCTGAATCACGTCACAGCTCATTTGCATGTTAAAGTTAAACCAGACGTTTTGTCAGAACTAATCAGTGTGAACACCCTTAAGACATATTCCCATTGGGAGCTAAGCATGCACAACAAAACATTAGACAGTAGGAGGCACACTCACAGAACACACCATGACAGGGATTTTACACTATAGGAAATACAACAGACAGCACATAGATTGGCCACACACCAGTTATAACTGTTAATGAGCTTAATGATAATTTTAACAGGTCTCAAACGATTATGATATTTCTAAAGAAATGATAACATAAAGCATCACAATTTCAGCTGAAAGTCTATTTAAACAGGAAGGCAGGCTCACCTCCTCCTCCTCCCAGTCAATCAAATCCCAGTCGTAGGTTAACTCCGCTCTTCTCCTCTTCCAGAACTCAAGGAATACTGTGGCTGTGATGGTACAGGAGGAAGCGGTAGGATATGAACATAAAGAGCTTTGGAATACAGGACAGTTCGACTCAAAGGCATTAGTCACGGTGTTTAAAGTAAGGTGACTAGGGCAGGTCCTCTTAGGCCTAAACACTCAATGTACGTACATGAATATAAGTGCTTCAACCACAATTTCTGCTGGTTTTGTGTTCATAAAGTACTTATGTCTTTTCCACACACCTTGTTGGTTTCATTAAGTTGCAACAGAATAACCCCACAACATGTTATCAGAGATGTGTTTATCAGCATTTCACGCCAGCTTTGAATGCTCATCCAATCAGAATTTTGGGTTAGATCTATTCATTTTATAATTTCTTCATCTCACTGGTAGACATTCAAATTCAATCTTGCTTACAGAATGTAATCAGCTAGCTTATTCAAAAGCATGACTTTTTCACAGTATCCTATGAACTGATTTATGCACTAAAAGGAATACTTAATAAATGAAGTAAAAATAAGATAAGTTCTGTGAGGTTTTCATGTCAAATGTAAAAAGAGAACAAGACTACTGTATCTGTGCTCCGAGTTCACGTCACACATGTCTACCAAAGGACTGTATGACCCACTTTTGTTTCAAAGCAAAAGAGCTGGAAGGGAAGAGAAAGACAGAGAGAGAGAGAGAGAGAGAGAGAGAGAGAGAGAGAGAGAGAGAGAGAGAGAGAGAGAGAGAGAGAGAGAGAGAGAGAGAGAGAGAGAGAGAGAGAGAGAGAGAGAGAGAGAGAGAGAGAGAGAGAGAGAGAGAGACCAAGAAGAGAAACCAAGAAGAGAGACCAAGAAGAGAGACCAAGAAGAGAGACCAAGAAGAGAGACCAAGAAGAGAGACCAAGAAGAGAGACTGTTTAATTTCAGTTAATTAAGTTCAGTCTTCATCCTGAAAGCTGTCTTCACATATGAGCTTTCAGGAATTCGACTTGCAGATCCCTCTGGGTCTCTCTATCAGGAACAGTATGGTCCCCATTTTTTAATAATACAATAATAAGACTTTCTTTAGCACTCGCCAATGTAGACTCTGTGAAGCGAAGCACCAAATTCAACTTTTTGGTTGCTACCCGTCACATGAAATATAGTATCACCCTGTATTTACAGATGATGTGTCATGTATTGCATCACTATAGGGCACAATTTGTCTCATATTTCTCATAATTATTGTTTAATAAAGTTTATGCAGTGGGAAGAATAACATAGTATCTAATAAAAGCAAATCAATAGCACAAGTAGAAAATCAATTGCCATCCATTAGCCGAGCAACATCCAGAGAGATAAATGGAAAAATTCTAAGCTTTCCTCAGGTATTATCACCCTCCTTGGACTGTTCCTATGCATAGATGGATTGCCTTTTTTTTTTTATATATATAATTTACAGCATTTTTTTTTTTTTTTTTTCTATCTGGTAACTGTGCAAATGTAATGCCCTTCCGTAATGTTATCTGTAGTGATTTATGTGGAGGTCAAAGCATGACATGGTTATGTTAAGAGGTGCGTTGAAGTCCTGACCTCAGAGTCAAGATGTCTTTGCTCTCTCAGTTATGTCATACACTGAAAAAAGTGAAAAGACTGTGTCAGTTATTTAAAGAGTATTTTATATTGGTCTAATTGAAAATAATGGTTTCCAGGTGTAATCCCATTTCATTCAGTTTGTCTAAAAGCAAAAAATAAACAATTTTGTTTAAAGAGTATTTTCGCTTGACATGGCAAGACGAGACAGACCTTGCACACCATGGAATCCGCCTAGCAGGGAAATTTGCTTAGCAGTTATTTGTAGCTGTGAGTTGATGCAACCACTTCACTTTCGGTTTGCCCTCCTTCTGGTTTGGCCAGAGGTGTTAGAGGTGAACTGATGGACTACCGGTATGGCATCAAGGCGAGTGGCAGTGTAGAACGTGAGCTCCCAGACTAATCGGTTAAACTCCCGTGTTTAATTAAAATTTACATCATGTAATTGATGAACAAATATGGAGGGGAAGAAACAACGAAAAGCTAGAGGCAAATCATCCCAAAGACCTGAGAAAACAGAGACAAACAAAGGAGAATGACGACGATGACAACGCTGGTGAGAACGAGGCTGCGAAAACAAACAAGTTTGCAGCGCTATATATTCTGAAATTAAGGCTATACGATCTGACGTGAAGACAGAACTAAACAGCTTTCAAGAGACTTTCACCAGAGACTGGAAAACTGACTTGGCAAGCCTGAGAACGGACATCAACCTTAAACTGAACGAAGACGCGGTGAAAAGAGTGGAGGAGGCCGAATACCGGGTGGCGGATTTAGAAGAGTGGAGCGCGGAGGCTAGAGATGTGCTTTGCCAAACCCTTGACATTCAACAAAAAATGCAAACAAAGCTGACAGATTTAGAAGCAAGATCATGACTAAACAATATACGATTGTACGGAATCCCGAAGGAGGCCGAAGGTGACAACATACAAGAGTTTGTTGAAAGTTTCATCAAGACGGAATTGTCCCTCCCCGATACTGAACTTGGGATACAGCGCTGTCACAGGGCGATCAGGGCAAGCCACCGCCAAATGCGAATCCCTGATCGGTTGTTTTGTACTATCTTGAAAATAGGATTAAAGAGCTGGTCCTCCGTTCGGCATGGAAAAAGAGTGAAGTTTACCTGAAAGGGAGGCGAGAGTACTTCGACCAGGATTACCCCACTGAGACTCAAAAGAAGAGGAAGGCATACACTCCTATCAGGGAAATACTCAAAGAGAAGGGTCTCCGTTTCCAGTCACCACCCGCCGCTAAACTTTTGGGTGTTTTTTGAGGATGGTCCCATTGTTTATAACAGCGCGACGGAGGCGAGGGAATACCTAAAAAATAAAGGATTGACCACGGCTAGCACCAGAGTAGATGACAACACTGCTTGAGCTTCAATGGAGAGGCTGAGTAAAATCTCCTGGGAAACAGCGGGCGCAATATCGCGACGCAACCGAGATGGCCATCAAGAGAGGGCACGGAAAACACTCCAGGATTTCCGCCGGGACACCGGAGAAACTGTTTGACTCTCACTCAGGGTAAATTATCAGTAAAACCTTGACTTTTTTCTTTTGTGATATAATGTTATGGTTACTTGGGATTTATAATATGATAGTACATCTGAAGATAAATGTCACAAGAAGAATACAATTATTTCACATAAAATTCTATCAAACGAAGTAAACTCATACCTAAGGTGAGAAGAGAAAACCAACATATTATTGGAACTCACCTAGTACAAAAACTGAACATGAAAAAGTTAGGATTTAGAAACACTTTTTATTCCTCTTAGCTGAAAGTAGGGCATAAAGTAGGGATGCAGTCTTCCCCTTGGAAGAATGGCAACATCGAAGGAGCCTAAAGGGGTAATTACTGTTGGTTTTAGCACCTTGCTAGCTCCCTGTGATAAGCTGCTCAAGTACCCCTTAGGATAGAGCAGGGTGAATGAAACTATGTTGGGCAACTAATAAACTCCCTCTGTTTCATTATCATACCTCCCCAACTATTGTTGAGTTTTGAAACGGTGATATCCCTCCCCTTTGGATGGGTGCTAGAATATGGCCCTGGTTCGACAATACTAATAAGTAGAGGAAGATCGCCTATGGGTGTCCCCTGTGTTATCTGTCACATGATATCGTAAAAAAGTGATAGCTTTAATGGGTTTAGGTGGAGTGCCCTTTTTTCACGGCAGGGTTAAACTGTTCACCAGTCATTTTGAGGTCTTGAAGTAGAACCTAAGATCCCCTGTGGTTTCCTAGGGGTTTAGGGGGATTAGAGTCCTCTCATTCTCCCTCCTTTCCTGAGTAGGAGTAAGGATTAGGCTCCCCCTTGGAGTGGTAGCAATAGTGAATGTTGTACCCTAAAGGGCTATTTACTAAGGTTTTTAGCACTTTGCATGCTCACTTGAAGTAGGGCCTTATGCTCCCCTATGGCTGGGTATCGTGCAAAGTCTCTAGTTGATCCATGCTTGGAGAAGTAGAGGCAGTTTGCCTTGTGGCCTCCCATCTTGTTATTGCAGCATTCTATAGTCAGATGAGTGCATGAAGTCTCCTTGTGGTGCCCGTAGAAGAACAAGTAGGGTTGAGTGCGCTCCCCAATGACTCTAGGTTAATTAAGTAGAGCCTAAGGTCCTCTGTGGTTTCCCTGGAGTTGAGTTGCAATGACAAGAGTTTTATTTAAGTGAAGGTTATATTCTCCCCCTTGGAAGTAGTGGTAGATAGAAGGTCTTTGATGAAATTCTCCCTTTGATAAGCTACTCCCTAAGGGCTTTATCAAAATATTGGCATAGCTAGCTCTATATTAGAGCTTTTGCTCTTGTGGCTTTTAAGGCTTTTTACCTGCCCTTGGGCTTAGAGATTGGCTCCAATAAGCAGTCTATTAGTCACAATCTGCACCCTGGGAGTTGACGCGCTCTGACTCCAACTAACATTTACAGTCTGACTTTAGTCAGGTACAAACATCGCTGATAGGATTAAAGTTGGTATTAAATGCTAAAAAAACAAAATGAATGTTTTTTACACTTTACATTCTCTTATGGATTTCACTATTTCATCACAAAGTGGTACTCCAATAGTGAGAGTGACTTCCTACAATTCCATTTATTTGCTAAAGCATTCTACAATTCATTTCTAAAGCACTTATGGGTATATTACCCCTCTACATTTCAAATTTGCTTACTTACCATACTAGTGTTTATAGGACAAGGTTTGTAAAAAAATACTATTAATTATTCCATAAACAAGAATAATAATTCATTACATTTATATAGCGCTTTTCTTGGCACTCAAAGCGCTTTACAAGGGGGGATCTCCTCAACCACCACCAATGTGCAGCATCCACCTGGATGATGCAACGGCAGCCATATTGCGCCAGAACGCCCACCACACACCAGCTTACTGGTGGAGATGAGACATAGTGATGAAGCCAATTGGTATATATATATGGGGATGATTAGGAGGCCATGATGGACAGAGGCCACTGGGCAAATTTGGCCAGGATGCCGGGGTTACACCCCTACTCTTACCCCTACACCCCTAATCCTTTAAGAACAGAACTAGGAAAAAAAAAGAAGCTTTCTCATCATATACACCAAAGGTCTGGAATGAACTCCAAAACACTTTAAATATATAAATCACTTTCACCTAATCATTAATTAGTTTTAAACACCTTTTAAAGTCAACTCTGACTGAACAGTGCAATTTATTTTAGTGCTTTTTAAGTTGTATGTCTGTATTTGCTTACGTTAAATATAATGTCTTGTTTGTGTTTTAAAATGTATAGTGTATGTATAGAGATTTGTGGTGTAGTATATAACCTTTGTCCTGTCTTTTATGTATTGTTGAAACTTTTGGCCGCCAGTATTGGCCAGGACTCCCTGGGAGAAGAGTTACTGTAACTCAATGGCACTTTTCCTGGTTAAATAAAAAATAAAAAAAATTATAAAAAAAAATAATAACCCCTCAGCAAGGCCTATTGGTCTAATTTACACATGTAACCATGGTTCCCTGAGAAGGGGAACAAGATTTTGTGTCGTTGCCATGCATCAGGTTTGCCTGAACGTCTTCTTCAGACAAAAGAGTTTATGACTTGTCTTGCAGGCACCCTCTTATACTCACAGGCACTCCACTTTTGACATCAGAGACTGCCGTTGGCCAAAAAAATGGCATGTTTGTTACATGTATTCAGATACCGGTTACACTGACGGCATTCTCCATAGCGTCAACTCCATGACGCAACATCTAATTTTCCTTCTCAGCGAACCAGGTTTACACACATAATCTTATAATGTTTTTGAGGCAAAAAGAAAGTACTAATGAGATATTCTAGTTTGTTTGGAAAGAAAGAGACCATTGAGTGATTTGATAGACATGAATGTAGCACTGTTGTGTTGCCATTGACAATTATAAAATATAGCCAACAGTTTGGCCTTCAGTATATGAAAATATTTATCGCAGTGTTTGACCAATTGAAGAGAGCCATAGAATGATAACTTAGGCCATACGTTCCTGCAAACAAATGCGACAGAACCTCTGTGTCCATGGCCTATATTTCTTTTGTATTTAAGGATAGCAATTTTTTTATTTTTTATTTTTATATATATTTATTTTTGAACCCAAGCTTCTAGAACACTAATTGGGCATTTCCGAAGTGTTATTTAATAGTCACCCTTGTACAGCTTTTGTATGAACTCTCATTTGACTCTGAAATGGTCTCTAAAGGACTCTAAAGGTGCTTTCACAATAGCACTTTTGGTTCCCTTTCAGTCGACTGAATGGGGATCACGCTTAGGGAGCCTGTCTTCTTCGTACTACTATTTAATCAAGCCAATTCAACGTTAGCGTGCGTGATTACACGCACCGCCCTGCAGTGAGGGTATAAACACGGAAGTGGACGCATGCACCAGTTGCCTTTCGCTTCGGATCCGTTCGGATGTTTCTGAAGAGTTACTACTGTTTACACAGCAAGTGAGTGTGTCGGTGTTTTTGCGGGAAGAAATGGGAAGCAGCGGTTCGATACCACTCCTGCTCCACCTCTGACTAAGCACTTTAGTACGTACAAGCAACATGCGTGCACAAGACAGGAGCCCACCTATGGACTGGATACGTGCGCAATTCTTGCTGCAGTAGAGTTCCCTCTTAAACCAAACCCTGTTTGAGTTCATCCACACCTTCTGGCGACGAACGCGGCGGAGCATCCGAAGCCAGACCTACCACTTGTATGCAATGGTGGAACTTGTGCTAGGCTGGGTCCATATGTTGCGATGTGATCCCATATATGTATTCTTCCACGATACGGCTCCCTGTGGCGAGCCCCTGTCTTCCCTTGGCAGAGCTTTTGCCATCACTGTCTGGTTAGTAGCTCCCCCCTGTTATAGGCTGGAGCCTCCCCAGTGACATTCCATATGTCGTACTGCCTGTCAATTCACCCAGTCCATATGTGTATTCTCCACATGTTACCTCCCTGTGGGCAGCGTCCCTTCCTTCCGTGTACAGGGAACTCTTTCCCAGTGGTGCTGTGGGAACAGCAGTGACTTCCCTGGCCTAAATCCCTGTCTTTTCTTTGCCTTAATTCACGGGGGGATCAGGAGGCTTCTGTCTAGGCACTGGAAGGTGCGGGGCGGAGCGTATAATCACGCACACCAATGTTGAATTGGCTTGATTAAATAGTAGCACGAAGAAGACAGGCTCCCTAAGCGTGATCCCCATTCAGTCGACGTCGACTACGTCCTCTGTTCCCTCCATCAGGGAACGGTGGGTTGCATACGGAACCAGGACATTCTTTAGAACATTTGCAGCACATTCGCGACAGATAGATGCAAGTGCCGTTTTGTTGTGTTTGCAGCCTTCTCCTATAATATAATGTGAGCACAATCCGGTGGGGGCAGACTCAGAGGGAGCAGGGAGCATTCAAACCAAGCGTGGCAATCAAACCATGTGAGAAAGCACCCTAAGAGAGAAATTTATCCTGAATTCTCGACAATGGAATAGTGGTTTTGTCGTTTTAGAACAACCCTTCTTTCATCCCCACTAAAGCCATTATTTTGAAGAGTTCATGAATTTCATGTATTAGTTTTAAAAGCAATTTAGAAATTTGAGTGTCAGAATCACCATTTACATGTTTTTGTTCACTGTTTACAATTTGTTTTTGTTGAATTAAGCAGTTTATTGTAATTAGTAGCCTATAATTTCATGTTAAACTATACAGCTTTATTGCAGCTACCCTAACTGTGATAGCATTAGTGGCATCTGTGTCATGCATTGTTTTTTAAAGCCATTTTCCAGCAGATAAAAATATGGCTGTGACTAATAAGTTGCTTTGTTTAGATCCCACACATCACCTACAGTTCTGCACCTGCAAAACTTGCACAGATGAATCAAAACACACACAAAAAAAATACAAAATATGAATGCAAACACGTGTACTGTAGCTATGCTACTTCAATTTCACGGCTACTGCAATATATCATATACTGTAGCACAATTATAAGGATTGCCACAAGGGAAATTAGTGTACAGTAATAAGCACTGACACAAGTGGGCATTAGTGTTAACTTTTATAGTTTGTTTTCCCTTTCAGGTCAACTACTGTTATGGTGCAGCAACAGTTTGAAAATATTTTTTTTTAGACCTACAAAGTTAGTTAAATTGCCATTTGTATAATGTAACATTTAGGAAAACATCCACAGCAGTAAATCCACAATGTCTGTTCATATTAATCTACTTTCATTTCACTCCAGGGAAGTGTTTCATTGGCTGTAGTCAGTCAATTAGACTGAATAATGAGGCCACAATTATCAAGCACGAACTCACCTGTGATCGCCACCGGGGATCCTTCAACACATCTATTTATCACTGCTCTTGTTCAGAGGAGTAAACTAAAGTCTAAGCAGTTTTGAAATATTTAAATGTTTGTGCTGTGAGTGCGGTCTACTGTGACCTGATTGTATCATTTGTTGTAATGTGGGACAAAGCGGTGATTGATTACAGCTGCTTCTCATGAGCTTTTTAGTCAATCCTTTTATAGCAGAACAAAGGCTGCTATAGATTCTTATTCTGCCCACTGAAGGAAGTCTCTTTTATAATTATTTAATTTGTACTTCAAACCAAACTCAAAAGATTCAGACTCACCCCATATTGCCATGAAGATAGCAAAGAAGACTGTGCCTCCATTATCAAAAAGATGGGTCACCTGATAAGCACAAAAAAGGCATTGTATTTTAGAATGTATAATTTGGAAATAACAGCAAGCTAAAGCATACAGTATATCAAGAAAAGAATGGAATAGAAAAGCATATGAACAAATAATGATTCTAAACATAAGATTCACATGTCCATTTAATCTATGAGCAACAAGGCAAAAGTAATCTCAAAAAGTTTGTTTGCACTTGGAAACAATTCAGATGTGCTTTCGGATTTGTCAAATCAAATTTTTACAAAAGTCTCATGACTATTTTACGTTATATTTGACTATTTTTTACGATTTCATTAGTATGTTTTCGTACAACTAGCTAATGACCCACAGATTGTTAGATTTAGGAGTGCAGGTTCATGCTTTTTTTGACAAATACTGTTTACAAATCACATTGTACAAATTAGTAAAAAAAAAAAATTTACTTTGTAAAATATTTACGCTTTCTCCAGAGATCGAGTTGGCTTTTTAATACTGAGAAGAATGAACACAGGTTGTCACTGCAATAAATACCATTTGTGTCATTGGTTTCGCTTGTGCACGCTAATAAGGAAGCTAAAGACCACAGTGTCTAGCATCAGTCACTAGCGCAACCTTTTGAGTCCAGGACAGTGAGGTTTGCCTTCACAGCTATCTCATATCAGCTAGCCTGTATTACAATCCCCCCTCGAAACCTCAATCATATCTGGGTCAAAGCACCATTGTTACCAGTTCCTCTCGGCTCCCTCCGAGCTGGGCTTGAACTGGTGATAGCAGGCATGGGAGTAGGGAGCTAACAAAGACGTTAAAGGCCACAGCCTTTTAAGAATTTCAGCAAGAAAAATAAGGAGTTTGGCATTAAGTGCCAGAATTGTTCATTCTGACAGCAATTTGCAGCAATGAAGCGGCCAGCGAATGTTATTCAGTGATAGTTGCCATTTTGCAGGAACAAGAGCAACAGATAGACCCACTCATATCATTCTTGAGCCAAAAGACATTTCAATATTGCCAGCTACATAATTTGGAAAAGCCCAAACAGATTATGAGCACAAGACTTCACAGAAACTGTATATGCCTGACAACAACATAGGTGGTGAGTAAGCAAAATATGTAGAAACAAAATCAGAGAGCCCAGCATGAAAGCTCACAGGTGACACATTTGACACCTGTATATCAGGTGTAAACTGTCTTATGACCATTTGTAATCAGACATGAGGTGGAAGTTAATGCTAAGTGTAAATGTTTGTATTAATATTGGTGCTAGGAATTTGCAATTGGTGTTTCACAAGTTATAAATAAGGTTATAATTGTGGGCCTAAAGGTGGAGATGGGAAGAGATTCTAAAGAAATGTCATGGGAAAGAAGTAAACTAAGCTACTGCATAAATACCAGATGTGTCCAATTCTGCGCCTGGAGCGCCACTGTCCAGCAGAGTTCAGCTCCAACTCCAATTAAACAGCAGCCTGATAATACCAAACTCTGCTACTTCGCTTTGCTTCGTAGACAGAGTCTGGAATGGCATAATTGAATGGGGGGGGGGGGGGGGGCGGATTTGGGGCGCTTGTCTGAAGTATACAATTATTGGTTACCCATAAGCCAATCACATAACGTCTGGTTATGACGTGTTATTCGCCAGCTCAGCCGCATCGAACTTCCACTGTAAACACATGTATGATGCGAAAACGAAACCATTGAGCAAAATACCGGGACTAGGGCCACGACATCACCTCCATTCAAAATGTTTAACAAACACTCTTCTTGTTCGGGCTTCAGTTTGCAAATGCCGGGAATATTCTCCACAACAGAGCGAATTGCATCCCATGTCTCCATATCCGGGGTCGTTTTCAAATTTCCCTAACCTAAAATACAATCTTAACTCGGTGCTTAGCGTCTACGTCACGGCTCTCAGCCCGCCCTCTGTTCGTTGATTGGCCGGCTGTTTTCAGGCCGGAGGAAAACTGAGAGCTAGGTCGCTATCTCAGAGTGAGTACAGAAGCGAACTGAAATTGAGCGGAAGTACGAAGTCTGACGTAGTCAGGCTAATTAAACACACCTGAAACAGCTAACTACTATTTCCAGGCAGGTGTGTTGACAATGGCTCTCCAAGAGCAGGTTTGGACACCTCTGTTCTATACCCTTGAAACAGGATTGGCAGTATTAGGCTAATATATTCCTTCCAAACTTATGTTATGAACTTCGTTAAAGAGTGTGAAGTGAGACAGAAGAAAGAGCTGATGGTCAGTAAAAACTCCAGCAGTGGGATGCTGAGACCTTGATTGGCATGTGCCAAATAACTCTCCGTTGATATGATTCTTGAGTACAAAGTAAGACTGTTCTGTTGCTCTGACTCCCCAATGGGAGCTTTGTTTGTTGAGGAGGTGGAGATTTTGGCAGAAGAGATTTGAGCTGTAAGTCGTGAGAAGCCTCTGTGGGCTTGGCAGGAGGTTTTATGTACAGCTCATATAATTGTTTATTTAACCTGTGTGGAAAGAGCACACTGACATTTAATCCTTTTGGATATGGGAAGAATGGCAGAACCTGAATGGGGATTTTTATAACAGCACCAGTTGAGTGAATTTTGAAGCCAGTTTGAAGAACCGTAACAGCTGTTTTTGAAAGCAGAGGAGTCGCAGGCAGGTATTAAAATATCTCTGTGCTGAGAAATCAATGGTGGGTTGATAAAATCAACTTCAGAATTTAAGATTTTGCCAACATGTGACAAAATTGTTTCACTGGTGTGGGATGGACCAATGTAAAAAAAAAAAAAAAAAGGCTGAGCAGTGAAAGGACAGTAGCTCATTTCCATTCCGTTGTTACCGCTGGCCCAAATCCAGCCCCATAACATTAGTGGGTGGTCAAGAAAGAACCGTGTCAACATTGTTTTAACATTGTCTCCTGAACTATGAAAGTGCAAACTTCAAGCAATAAAACATTCTTCAAGGCAGGAACCAATTTTAATGTTTATTTTATTCAAATATTAGCCTCTCCCAGGCCAAATCACTACCATGTTCCCACGACACAAAATCAACTTTTGGTCCCTAGTACTGGCTACACAGCTTGAAGAATCTGTGTTTGATTTGCTTGTTGAACATTCAGGACCAAACACTAATTCAACACATGTGAATATCTTTGACGTCAGACAAAACAGGCTTTCCTAATGAGGCTAGAACAAAAAGTTTGAAAACAGACATTCTAAAAACAAAGTTGTTACGGTTATAAACCGTTATAAACTACATATGTGCACTGAAAGAGTATATAGAAACATTTTCTGCAAAACAAAATGTATTTGCATAAAGATGTATACAGGAAATATACAGTATACATAAATATCATCACACAGCCCAGATGTGTTTTCTTGACTTTCATGTTGTTTGTCTTGGTTTTCTTGACTTTTCATGTTACCACAGTACAGAACCATTAATTTATTATATCGGGCTCTTAAAGCGGCACTATGCAGTTTTGGCAATTTATTCGCTGTATTCTAGCTTTTTGCTTGCAGGTTTCTCAATAGAGCTCCCCCTACAGCTTCACAATAGATATTTGACAGCACTGTCGTAAAAACTCATTGGCGACTCTCCCCCCCTCCCATCTTCTCCCTCTGGCCATGTGCATTTGTTTTCAAAGAAGACGGCGAACGCATGGAGCCATGTCCACTGAGGTATGTATGATACACAGAAGGCTAGCGTATAAATGTTGAGATAGTGTATATTTGTATTGTGTTATAAAACGTAATCCGTAACATTATGAAAAACAAGAGACTAAGAAATATTTCCGCTTATTTGTGTATATTGTTTTTTAGCTTATCCTATCTCAATTATAGACTTAGATTAGGCAGTATCAAAATGAAACTTTACGCTGCATTCTTTTATAATGCTGAAGGGGATCGGAGGTTGGAGTAGAGTTGTCCATCATAACGATGATAAAAACTCCTACCCTACCTTGTTCTTATAGCTAGCCGGATCCTGGATGGGGGTGTGTATGTGTGCAGTGCTGTAAAGCAATTTGTTACATCGCGAGACCTGATATTACGCGATACTTCCTAACACTGAGGCTTGCGGCCTGCCGGCCCAAAGTTGCAAGGGTGTTTTTTCCGCTCACAGGCACCAGGGGGAAGCGAGACAGCCACCATTCAACCCAAAAAAGTCACATAACCATTCCAATGACTCCAAAGCTGTTCAGTTAAGCAAAAAAAAACAAAAAAAAACTACTCGGTTACTATCGTAACCTCAGTTCCCTGAGAGAGGGAACGAGTATTGCGTAGCTATACGCAGTGGGGAAACTCCTTTTCCTCGATTTACTGAAGCCTATATGTAAAACGCATTTGCAGCTGCACAGCTAGCACACTGAGCGTCTGGCACGCTCATAGGCTGTGCTGCAGCAACTGCACATCCAATGGCGCGGGCGAATCTGACATGCGACCAATGAGCTAGCCCAACGTCAGAGCCTGCCGAGGGGGCGTGGCCCAGCCTGTATAGACCCCCGAATTCGCCATTATAGCAGGTTTATATGACTGAAGCGACAACTTCACCAGTTACTACAGTGCAGCCGGCTACGCAATACTCGTTCCCTCTCTCAGGGAACTGAGGTTACGATAGTAACCAAGTAGTTCCCTTTCGAATAGTCACTTCGTATTGCGTAGCTATATTATTTTATCAAAGATTTTATCAAAGAATTTGCGGACTTTCTATCAGATTTAGTATTGGCTGCAGATAAAGTACTAATTGTTGGTGATTTTAATATACATGTAGATAATGAAAAAGATGCTTTGGGATTGGCATTTAAAGACATTGTAAACTCAATTGGAGTTAGACAACACGTGTCAGGACCTACTCATTGTCGTAATCATACTCTAGATCTAATATTATCACATGGAATAGATGTTGATGCTGTTGAAATTCTGCAGCAGAGCGATGACATCTCAGATCATTATCTAGTCTCATGTAAATTACATTTAGCCAAGGCTGCAAAGCCGACTCCGTGTTATAAATACGTTAGACCTATAACTTCTGCCACTAAAGATT